TAGACCAGCAGTTTCAGAAATACCCAGACCAGTCTTGCACCAACAACCAAGCCACGGTCAAAGCCACTTAAATCACCTTCCTTTCTCATTCGGATGCTTGGTTTGAACTGCAGCAGATCGTCTTGACCATGTCTACATGCCTAAGTGCATTGAGTTGCTGCCATGTGATTGGCTGATTAGAAATTTTCTTTAACGAGCAGTTGGACGTGTACCTAAGAAAGTGGCCGGTTTTTAGATTATTTGTTATTATGTACAATAATATATGCCTCTGGGACCAGTATTGGTGTTGAAATGGCCCCTTTTTGTAAGAAGCATGTGTATTTCTCATTATTTTAGAAATATTAAGCTTTGCATTGCTCGTTAAAAAAAAAATCAGCATTGATTTCTTAGATTGTTCTAAAGCGATTTGTTATATTACAAAACTAGATGTTGGCTCCATTCCATAGCATAGTGAGCTGCCTACATAAACAGCACTGAGAGCATCGTGAGTGCCTTCCTAATTTGAAGGCTGTTCCAAAACACAGGGAGCATTAGTGTTTATTCTAGATAAATAATGAGTGTTCTTTGTGGAAAATTTTGGGATTGAATTTTCCACAAAGAACACTCATTTCGCTAGAATAAACAGTAATGCTGCCTGTTTATTGGAACAGCCTTCGTATTAGGCTGTTCCAAAAAACAGCCTAATTGAACACGTTATTCAATCCCAGAATGCATTTATTTGTGATAGACAGACAGAAATGTTCATTATAAATATACTTTTAATTAATTACACTACTTGTAACTTCTTGTTTTACTCCATATTTTCCATATGTTTTTTTTTTATTTATAAAAATAAATCATATAATAAATTATTCAATATTATTATTCATTCTTTTTACATTTGTAACTGTAATTATATGTAAACTCACATTTAAAGTGCAATCTATCTCTGTTGTCTATAAAACTTTTCAGTACATAAATTAAAAAAATTTAAATTCTTTGCTCATTTCATGAGACTTTTTCTGTTCTGAAATGTATTTATTTTTACCATAGGCATGCAGTGATTTTGTTCTGTTTAAATGCATTTATTTTTAACATAGCTATCTAATTATTTTTATTTATTTTAAATATTTTTTTTTGCCATAGCTATGGAGCTATCTTATTTTATTTTTATTTTTTTATTTTATAATATACACATATGTATGTATTTATTTATTTATTTATTTATTTATTTATTTATTTATTTATTTATTACCATATATGGACCTATTTTATTTTATTATTTCACAATTTTTCAACTAAATTAATTAAAAAAGAATTGGTGCTGTTTTTACATTTTAATACAATTTTATGTAGTAAATTTATTTATTTTTACCATAGCTATGCAGTGATTTATTTTATTAAGTTTAGTTTTATTTTATTTTATTTTTTTTTATTTTATTATTTTACAATTTTTCAACTAAATGAATAAAAAAATTGGTGCTGCATTTACATTTTAATACATTTTTATATAGTACATTTGTTTGTTTTTACCATAGCTGTGGTTTACCACAGTGATTTCATTTTATTTTATTTATTTTATTTAATTTAATTTAATTTTTTTATTATTTCACATTTATTTTCTTTTTGATACAATTTTATGTAGTAAATGTATTTATTGATTGATTGGTTGATTTTTACTATAACTACAGCGATTTAATTTTATTTGACCAAAATTAATGTTGTTTTATTTATGTTAACACAGTTTTATTCAGTAAAACATTGTGCAAAAAATGTCTTTTTTAATTGTCACCCATCTGTGTACTTAATGTATGTATATGAATATCACAAACATACCATGTAGGTGTATTTTTAGCTCAATCATACTGTACAGTATCACTTCAAATTACTTCAAAAAGCTTAGAGTCTATCAGGACTTACTCTCAACAGACATCAAATCTTTGCCTCTGTTATAAAGCTGTATTGATTTCATCCTTTTTAACCACCATTTTTACTCCCACTCAGATCCAGACCCGGTGACAGGAAGCATGGAGTCAGCCATGGCAGTGGATCTCAACCCCTGGGTGGAGTATGAGTTTCGGGTGGTGGCCACAAACAGCATAGGCACAGGCGACCCGAGCCCCCCATCCAGAGCGGTGCGCACTAAAGAAGCAGGTATATCTGTCTTTAGTTCACTCACCCGTGAATGTGTCCTCCAACACAACAGAAATCTAAATAAACAAACAGTTTCCTCTCAAACAGCCTCGTTTATCCTCTGCTCGGGGGATCGTGTGACTGCGTGTTGTGACACATTTTTACGACTGCAGTCACCCGCTTGACTATCCAGGGTGACCCTGGTTCCATTTTAATTGGAGGAGAAGTGGAAAATAAGCCGCTTACATGAATTTAAACAAGTTTTTTTTTTGTGCGTTTGAGCTGAAGCAGAAAGGCACTTGTGCCCTCAGGCAAAGAGGCTGCAGAATTCTCTATTTATGGAGAACAAAACCCTCGCTTCAACACGCTTTGGTTCAAAAAACATTCAGCAGGCCTGCTCCATTACGCAGCCACAGAATGTCCCAGTATACGAATATAATGACAGCTCGTCTTTTGTCATTGTTTAAAGCAGAATGAATTATTGCGGTTGTCGTTGTTTGACACCGCTCATTAAAGGAAAGGTTCTGTCATTGTTTATTCTCCCTTGTGTCGACCCAAACTGGTACACTGTTATTTTTATCTGTGATTTATTTGCGATGAATCTTCGCATAGTATATTTACATACATACAATAATTGTTGTAATAACAGAACAGTTACAAAAGAAGCAATTACTAGAAATAGGATATATTAGCAGTTATGTGCAAAACTGGCAGTTGATACTAGCAGTGTGGTAAAACCAGAATGATCTCATGAGAAAACGTAAGTATTTTACGTTTTTTGTCAGTTTAGTGGCTAATTCATACGAATTCGTACGAGTTCAGTTGTATGAAAATGTACGATTTTAAAAAGGAGGCGTGGCACCCAACCCCGACCCTAAACCCAACCATCACTGGGTGATGATTAAATCGTACTAAATTGTACAAATGAGATCGTTTGAATTCATACGAATTAGCTACTAAATCAAAAAGGTACGAATTGCTGTGAGATTGTGTTGGGTAAAACATTGTAGATATCGAAACATGCTTGTGCTAAAACATAGTAGCAGGATGTTTAAACAATCTTACTGTTCCAAGTCATGCTTGAAACATATTAGCATAGTGTTTCTATCAGTGTAATGATGATAGAAGCACGTCAATGTCCCATTAGCATGCTAGCCTTGTGCTAAACTGTGTTGTGTTAGTGACATGTTAACACTATGTTAAAACACGCTCGAAACATGCAATCATTGTGTCAAGCATTTTAGCAATGTGTAAACCATGCTAGAAAACGATAGCAGTCTGATAAACCATGCTAACAGTGAGTTATACTAGCAGTGCAGTAAAACATGGTAAAAAACCTGCTTAAAAAGTTTTACAGTACGGTAGAAGCATGTTAACACAATGTTAGTGGTGTCCTTAGTCATCCTTGAAACATGTTAGCACAATGCTTATAACAGTCTGAAAATATAAGCACATTTATTTCATACTATCAATGTGTAAAATCATACAATAACCATATTAGCCTTATGCTAAACACGCTGACAGTGTTTTGTGTTCAAGAAATGTAAACGGTGTGTTAAAACCTGCTATAAACAGACAATTGCTGTGCTAAGCATGCTAACAGTGTGTAAACCATGCTAGCAGTGTGCTACAATATAGTAGCAGTGCATGGAAGAAACATGCGTGAAATGTGCTAAAATATGGAGCATGTTAAAGCAATGCTAGTAGTGTTATACGTCATCCTTGAAACATGTTAGCAAAGTGTTTGTAACAATGTGATGATGTTAGAGAGACTGTTAATGTCATGCTAGCATTGTGGGGAATTATTCTACAACCCTAATAGCCTAAAATGCTAAACGTGCTGAGAGTTTATTGTTTTAAAGACATAATTGCACTGTTAAACCTGATAGAAACAGGCAATCACTGTGCTAAGCAGTGTGTAAATCCATGCTAGAAAATGGAAATTGTAGCAGTGTGCTACAATATATTAGCAATTTGATAAAACATGGAAGAAACATGTTTGAAATATGCTAACATTGTTCAAATAATGTTAGTAGTCTCTTAAGTCATACTTGAAAACATGTTAGCACAGTGTTTCTACCTATATGATTATGCTAGAAGAATGCTAATGCTATACTAGCATTGTGTGAAATCATGTTACAAACATGTTAGCCTTGTACATTTTAGACAGGCTGACAGTGTATGAAAACATGCTAAAAGCATGTTGTATTTGCTCTAAGCTTAGAACTTTGAAAAGCATGCTTGAAAATGATAGCAGTGTGTTAAAATATGCTAGCAGTCTGTTATACTAGCAGTGTGATAAATGGAAGAAACATGCGTGAAATGTCCCAAAACACTGTAGCACCATATAAAAACAATGTTAGTAGTGTCCTAAGTCATCCTTAAAACACGTTAGCAAAGTGTTTCTAACAATGTGATGATGCTAGAGAGAATGTTAATGTCATACCAGCATTGTGGGAAATCTATCTATCTATCTATCTATCTATCTATCTATCTATCTATCTATCTATCTATCTATCTATCTATCTATCTATCTATCTATCTATCTATCTATCTATCTATCTATCTATCTATCTATCTATCTATCTATCTATCTATCTATCTATCTATCTACTTTAAAAACTGTTTCAAACTTTGTTTCTTTATTAATTTAGTCTTTCAGGATACCTAACCTTGTCAGTTATTAATATTCATTAGGAGTTATTAATATTCATTATCACATTTTATTTTTACATGCAGGTTTTAGTTAATAGAAAGTTCAGCGTTTAAAATAATGACATAGAGCACAATAACGTTGCATTATTTCTGTATCTGCAGTACCATCTGTAGCCCCTGCCAACGTTCGAGGAGGGAACGGCCGCAGGCATGAGCTGGTCATATCCTGGGAGGTAGGTTTGCACTTGGCATGTACAGTGGACTCCCTACTGTGAACTCTTGCTATGCTAATGAATATGGCATAAAAAAGACTTGCAGTTCTCGGGCCAAATAGATTCATGCAGCTAATTGACTTGAGCGTTCGTAATTGTATCCGGCCATAATTGCCACCATCGCAATTTGCATGTTGAAGGATTGCGACACTTACAGTCCCAAACCCTATAAGAACAGATAAATGAGTATATATTAAATTTTGTGCTTTGTAGAAATGCTGTTGGAGGCAAATTGGACTGAATAGCGGTGAAGGTTTATTCCAAATCTGCTTGATAATTGTGATCATTTGCAAGCTTTTTTTAATAGCACCTTTCTGTGGTTTTCGGACACCGAGGAAGGATTCAATAGGGTTACAGAATAATAGTATTAAAAAGTGTTAATATTAACATGAACTTCGTAGATCAAACATTATGCAAAACAAATGACGTAAATATGCTAAATAATTCATATGACAAGGGAAAAATTGAAAAATATTTTTTTCATATGCTGATCAGATTTATTCATATCCATTGATGCACAGTTTTATTGAGATTCAGGGCATATCACACAACGTGTCCATGTTTGTATCATCTAAAATTGTTATTTGGATGTTGCATTTTGTATTAGAAGCTCCTGAAATACACTGAACAGTTTTCCACCAGAGAGCTTGTGAAATCTAAATTGGAGTTTTGTAGTTGTTAAGCCATGTGTAAGCCTTGAGGCTAGCTGGTCTATTCTGATGTTGAGCATGTATTACATTTAATTTAATTTATTTTACTGAAGTACTTTGCAGCCATCACAAAAGTGCAATTTATGGGGATTAGCTATGAGGTGGTGGAAATTAAATACAAAATAAACTTGATAAAAAAAATAAATAATCTATCGTAACACAATGTATATGTTTTTGCTTATAAGGTATTTAAGGGATAATTCACCCAAAAAGGAAATATCTGCCTTAATTCACTCATTCTTGAATTGTTCCAAGGCAGTTCCAAGGTTTTTTTTTTTTTTTTTTTTTTTTTTCTGTTGAACACAAAATAAGATATTTTAAAAAATGTTGCAAACCTGTAACCGCAACCATATTAGCAAAAACAAATGCTATTGGTGTCAACGGTTACCACTTTCCAACATTTATCAATATAAATGTTTAAAACCCAAACTACTTGGGAAAAAGTCAAGAGTGAGTAAATAATGGCAGATTGTTCATTTTTGGGTGAACTATTGTTCATTATCAACAATCAAAATCAAATAATAATTATAATATATATATATATATATAACAGACAATTACAGATAATGAATACGTTTGATGACAGTATTATCTTGAATATTAAAAGCACTATTTACATGTATTATAACAGATGTTAGAGTAAACATTGCATCCTCTTGATATTTTACCAGAACCATTCCAATACATAAAATTTTAGAAGGAGCGCTATCCTGCTGAAGAGTTTGCCCTCTCCTGTGGTTTGTAATGTAATGGGGAGCACAAATGTCTTGATACCTCAAGCTGTTTATGTTGCCATCTACTCTGCAGATCTCTCGCATGCCCCATACTAAATGTAACCCCAAACCCTGATTTTTCCTTCACCAAACTTGACTGATTTCTATGAGAATCTTGGGTCCATGCGGGTTCCAATAAATCTTCTGCAGTATTTTGTGATGATTGGGATGCAGATAAAATATACAGATAATCAATCTAAAAAATCTACCTTCTTCCACTTTTCCAAATAATCAAATAGAAGTCAAGTTTTTTATTTGTTGCTCTTACAACTGGGATTGACGACAGGTAGTCAGGTAGTGTACTAATAATCTAATAAGAATTAGTTGCTGTATAGTTCCAATGTAAAGAAATGTGATAAAAGAACAATCATTTTATGATACCTACAGTACATTTCCATTTATTCATTTAGTTTTGCAAATGATGGATGCAAAATGCAATTCATCATAAAGAGCCAAATAATCTAATACAAAGATTCAGCAATTTGTTGCTGTGAAATGAAAAAAAAAACACAATTTGAGAGCCGCAGCATATCGAATTGCTTTATAAGATGGAATTTATGCTAAAAGTCATCTGAGTGTTCTGTCCTTTTGGAAGCCGCGGCCGCCACTATATGGAAATTACTTTGATTAGACACACGAGAGAGATGAAAATGATCATTAACCTTGAATTCTCAAAACACTTCCCCCTGAAACTGATGTTTTGAGAACATCTGTTTGTTAGATGAGATTTAACATCAATTTTTTTGTATATGTAAATTGGATTGCTTGAAGTGTTTGCTAATGGACAGATCACCTTTACCTCTGTTCTCTGTTTGTGAGCGGCTGCACATTAACAAAGCAAAAAAAAGGAAAAAGGTTTCCAAATGAGGCCAGTTAAAGGTGCGATTAACCGGGGAATTGTGGAACAGATGTACGCTGAAGTGACGCTTATTCTTGCAGTTATTAAATCAGGCCCCAACTGTCACCCGCCAAATAACTTTCATATTAGAAAGAACCGTACCTCGGTGAGAAATTAAAGATGATAAGGCTCATTCCAGATGCAGTGGAATACTTTAACAGTGATGACTTGCTAAGTTTATAACCCTCCCAGAAAGTTATTACTGTAACTACAGAATAATTGTGGTTTTAATTTGGCTTTTGTGGTGACTGTTCAGTTATGTACCCATTAAAACATCCACAGCATATACTAGAACATTTTTTTTAGATATCGCTTAGAGCTCTAAACCTATTTTGGAGCTAATGTTTACCTTACAATGGGAATATTTTAAAGACACTGGAGTCTATTTAAGCATTAATTCTGTTCTGCTTCATCATATTAGGAGAGAGGTACCCTGACAGGAGCTTCAGGTGCTATTTTGAGACACATATTAAGCATCGTATTAAATTGCATATCATTTAGCAGACACTTTTAAAGCAAAACGATTTGCAGTGCATTAATTGGACTCTCCCCCCAGAGCCCAAGCTCTTTACTCAAGGACATAATGGTGACTGAGCAGCCTTATGAATTCACTAATACTTTAGTTAACAAGTCTGCAATACCTGTAATGTAACCTTTTCTAGCACTGACACTTTACATTAACCATTTGAGGACTACTGTACTTACATGCCTCATTAGTGGTAACCAGATTTAAGCTCAAATCTGTCGAGAAGACTTGAAAAGCATTCATAATTGCTTAGGATTCGACATTAACATTCAGTAATTGGCATGTGGATATTAAAAACTGCATTAGGGAGTTTATATGAAATGGTGTTAAAATAACCAGATAAGACAAGCACATTCCTTCATCAGCTTTAAGACTGGAGTTGATTCGTTATTCTAAACAGTGTTTTAGTCAGTGTTTTAGTTAAGGGCGACACGGATGGCCCTCTGTGGTGCGGCAGAAATATGAACAGTGTAGAGTCGTGGCTGAGTACCATGGACTGCCGATGTGTGTACCCTGATAGAAACCTATGTTTAGAATTCTGAAATGCATGGCGCTGCGTGGCGCTATGTGGCACGTCGCTGAGCAGCGCGATTTAGCGTGTGACCCCCTTAAGTCTGTTTGTGGTTGTCTGTCTGTGTTCTGTTGACTTGTCGGAAAGCACTTTGGCCCATGAAGCTGTAAAGAATCGTGCTATATAAATGACATTGTCATTGTCATCGCATAGTCAAAATCACATCATTATCCTTTATCATTCACTTTCGCCAATTGGTGAAGTTTTTTCCTTGACGCTGTCGCCACTGGCTTGCATAGTTCGGGACCTGTAAAGCTGCACATCAATGGATTTTCTCTTCAGGGTTAGGACTCTCAGCAGTGAATATTAAGCCACACTGAACTGAGCTAAACTGAGCTGACCTTAAACTCTGAAAACTGAACTGACACTGTTTCAATTCACTATAATCTTCTATGTAAAGCTGCTTTGACACAATCTACATTGTATTAGCGCTATACAAATAAAGATGAATTGAATTTAATTTATTTGATGTACACACTGGAATTTAATGTGTAAATGTGTTTCCGTCATAGTTTATGATTCACACTCATTAAATAATTACTTTATATAGCTTTATTTTGCATTCTTAGGAGATACACAACACAAATGTTTGTGTTTTTGTATCTCCCAAGCATGTAAAATAAAGCTATATAAAGTAATTATGTGACAATCATGACCTTCTGAATGGTGTTATTAAGTATATTAAAGCACCAAAAATGTTAAAACCGCGATCATGCAGTGTAAACTTCACTACTGAATGTCAGTTTATGCACATTTTTTTTTCTTATCAGATAAAAACGTCCATCCAAACACGTACGTTTTTATGTGTATTTTCAAAATAATGTGCTTTTTGCCGTTTCCAATAAGCCTTTTTATGTGCATAAAAATAAGGGGATGGAAACATAGCTACTGATAGCTCCACGATAAAACGATTTAATTTAACCAGAAGTAACGAAAAGTTGTTTCGATGGGGTAGAGAAGGTTATGGTTTGGATTTGATTAAAGGGTCATGACACCCCCCACTTTCGGTGCAGGTCTACTTGAGAATTTTTTCAAAAGGTGCATCATAGTAGACGTGGAGCTTCGCGAGCAAAGGGTAGGAGTGGGCGTGATCAGCAGGGGAGAAGGAGGGGAGCGAACAACTGTTGTCAGTTAGCTTATATACAGATAAGCACAATTTATATCATTATAAAGATAATCGTGTTCATATAAACACTATAAATGAGTACTTCTCCCTCAATCTCCGGGTCTGAATGCAGACTCAGTGCAGCAGGTCTCTTGCCCTGTCTATTTTAACCATTAGCCCTTTTGGTAATCTAGAGGATATAGCAGCAGCACAGCGATGTGTCTAACTGTGAACGAACTCCACTGATAAAAAGACAACGTCGTCATTATCTAATTCTCATATTGCTCTCTCGACAAAAATGGTGGCTGCACACATACAGCTTTGCTGTATCGGCCCTTACAGCTTCACACGGAAAAACATGCAACAAACCCCTTGGAT